GCCCACCAATCGAACGAGATCCACCAGCTCAAGCGTCGCCAGTCTGACTTGGAGCAGAGCAACGTTGTCCTCCGCAAGCAGATTGGCGAGATCCGAGAGCAGCTGGCTATGGCGGAGAAGGCCCTCCCAGCGACCGACCTGGCTAAGCTGGCCGAGTACGACCGTGAGGCCGACCCACTTCTCTTCTCAGCCAACTGCAGCTCAATGGTGGCCAAGAGCGCGGTCTTGGCCAGCCTCTCAGAATGGTTTGGTGCCTCCACAGTGGCGCCCGAATACTTGGAGCTCGTCGGCGGCGCGGAGGTCCCTTCCAAGCGCTTCTTCCTGCGTGTTCGGGGCGACGCTGGCGTTGGTGGAGCCCGTGCCCTTGCATTGGCGCGCGCGCTCCGACTCCCTGGAGGCTCCTGGAGATCCTTCCAAGTCAAGACACCTGACGGGCGATTGGTGCCACTTCACGTGGGTGCCGACAAAGCCCCTCGCCAGATCCGCCGAGAGATGCACACCAAGAGGCTCCTCTCCTTGCTGCAGCAGTCCTTCTCATCGGGCCGTCGCGACTGGACAGCCATCCGCCCGAAGGGCATCATCAGCGTCAACGCAGTGCCCATCATTGAGGTCGTCCCACAGGGCTTCCACGAGCCCTCGCGGATATACTGGCACCCCGAGACCACCCGCTACATCAATGACGACGAGCGGCAGAAGATCATCGACCAGTTCTGTGAGGCCACCACCTTCAACACAGAGGTCGACACCTCCACCTGGTCTTGTTCCTAGCCCACGCTGGACGCCCTGGGTGTTGGCTGCTCCCCAGGGCCAGGGCTCTGGCGCTACACAGGCGCTCCGCATCGCATCGTGGAACGCCCAGGGACTTCTCTGCCAACGCGCTCATCGTCGCAACAACAAGATGCAACGTCTCTGCAAGCTTCTTCAGATGCGCATGCTGATTGTCGTCCAGGAGGCGCACGGGTCAGAGATCAAGCTACAGACGCTGCTGAACCAGACTCCTTACCATTACCGTGCCGTCATGTCCGCGGGCGACTCCCCTGGGGCTGGCGGCGTTGCCTTCCTGATCCCGTGGTTCTCCGAAGCAGAGCTCGCGACGACGGACCCCCAGATGCTCCCTTCCCTCTCCTTGGACCCTGTGATCGATGGTCGCGTCGCGGTACTCACCATCAGCAATTTGACTAACAACGAGCACATCAAGATCATGAACATCCACAACCATGAGCTGCCCGCAGCCAAACTTCCTCTCGTGCGCCATCGCTGGCTTGACGGAGCTGCATGGGCGCAAAGTGACGAACGACACCGCATTTTCATCGCTATCGGGGACTTCAATATCGCTGACATTGAGCCGGTGCACCTTTCTTCCCCGAGTGCGGCCTCGGCTTCGGCACCAACGAGGGGTACTGGGCGACGGAGAGCTCCTGCTACTTCTTCCTCATCCTCGTCCTCTTCTTCGTCCTCCTCCTCTTCGGAATCTTCAACGGAGATGGCTATGGGAGACTACCGACGAGCTGGTGGCAACAGCCGATCGGTCTGGCACCGTGGCAATCAAGCGCAGGGCTTCTGGCGCAACCTCTTCCAACGGGACATGGTGGAGGTCGTGACCGAGCTTCCCACCCACTACTCCAAGCGCCACCAGTCGTGCACGTTCATCGACAGGGCCTTCATCTCTCTGAAGTCGCACTTCCTCCTGGACACCTCCGTCGCCTTCGAGATTTGGCAGGAGGCGACCTCCCTGGCGGACTGGGGTCTCAGCGATCACGCCATCATCCAGCTGCGGATCCAGCCCCGTACCGCGGCTGCTTCTGACGACCGTGCGATCCCCCAGAGCGTCTTCCACTCGCCACGGTTTGCTAAGCATATCACCAACCTGCTCAACCACTCCGACTTCACGAACATAGCGGAGGAGAACCGATGGGCCGAGGTGAAGCTGCAGATGATTGAAGCTGCTCGCATCACCCGCAACGAGCTCCAGGCCCTCCCCATCGGCGATGGCCATGCTGAAGCTCTTGAGGGCCGCAGAATTTCGACACGCGCGATTGCAAGAGCCATATGGAGGCAGGACGTGCACCTCGCGCACAAGCTGATCCACTCCACCGCCATGGGCCGATTGCACCTCACCATCGATGGCGACAACCGCGTCCTGCTGGTCAACCCCCCTGCATTTGAGCGTGAATGCATGGACCTTCACCTCGCCTGGCACGAACACCAGCAAGCTGCAGCAGCCGCCAGACTTCGTGAACATGCTCAACTGCAGCTTGACGCGGGCGACCCCACCATCCAGCAGTTGCGGAAGATACAGCGCGCTGCTCAACGGCGCGCCCTTCTTTGGATCCCTTACCGTCGTCGGCTGGTGCTCAAGGGTCTCCGCATGGATGGCGAGGGACACCAGGCGGGCATTGAACGTCACCCGACAATGATCATGGATGGCTTGCGCCAGCACTGGCAGCCTACGTTCACTGATCACCCAGTCGACATCAATGCGGTTGACGATTACCTGCGCACTCATCTTCCTGAGTTCGACAGCCCTGCTTTGGAGGTTCCTTCACCAGCTGTTCTTCGCGCTGCGCTGCTTCGAGCCAAGCCCACTGCCCCTGGACCTGACCGACTCCCTGCGGCTGCCTGGCTGGCGGACCCAAGGTTGGTGGACATCCTCTACGACATGATGATCGGCCTGTGCCAGGGCAGGGGTGCGCCGCACGGCTTCAACTTCGCGGACATGGTCTTCATTCCCAAGGGTGATGAGCCCTCGGATTCCGTGGAGGTGGTCCGCCACGCGTCGAAGCTTCGTCCTCTGAGCCTCAAGAACTGTGATGCCAAGGCGGTGGCTAGTGCTGCGAACCATGTGCTCGCCCCTCTAGTGGCTGCAAGAGTGCACGAAAGCCAGCAAGGCTTCGTGCGCGGGCGGAACTTCCTGTCTCACGTCGTCCGTCAGGATGCGGTCGCTCGCGCTGCCAGCCACCACCCTGAGCTGTCCCCCCTCTTTGTCTCCTTTGACCTCAGGGCTGCGTTTCCCTCCCTCTCCCAGCCCTTCCTCTGGCGTGTGCTCGAGCGTCACCGCATCCCGAAGGGCTTCCTTAATGTAATCTCTGCCTTGTACTCTGGGGCTCTCGCCCACTCCCGATGTGGAGCATCCCGCCGCCCTCTCTTCCTGGTGACGTCTGGCGTGGCCCAGGGATGCCCCCTTTCTGGCACGATTTGGGCCCTGTCAATGGATCCCTTCGCCCGCCACATCCAGTCTCAGCTAATGTCGCCCGAGGCGCTGGCCCTCTGCCCGAGCCCCGAGCGCTGGTGCCCAAGACTAGAGCCTGAGTGCGGTGTGACGGCGGATGACGTTGGTGCCACTCTCCCCTCGATTCGGCTCCTCCCCCTGCTCGTTCCACCCTTCACCGCCGCCCGCACCCTAGCGAATCTCGAGCTCCAGCCGGACAAATGCTGTGCCGTCCCACTGGCAGAAGAATGCACGCCCTGCGTCGCGGCACGCGTGAGCGCGAAGATAACTGCCCTGGCCCCTGAGTGGGCTTCCTTTCACGTCCGTGGCTGCACGCCGTTTCTGGGTTTCGCGTTTGGTCCTGGGGCGACTCTCGCGGACCAGTGGACCGACCCAATTCGCAAGTGGCAAAGGCGCACAGCAGAAGTCGCACTTAGCAGGACTCCCGCAGAGGCAAGCTGCCGAGTATACAACTTCGGCATCCTCTCAGTCCTGAGCTATGTCTGCCAGCTCTTTCCCCCTCCTCTCGCCCTCCTTCGCTCCGAGCGTCACGTCCTCCACCGCCTCCTCCGCCTCCCCCCGAATGCCTTCGGCCTGGGGGAGCTCCTGGGCCTCGGCTCCTGGCTCCGATCCTCGGTCCCCAGGTCCGTGCGGGTCCTGGCTGGAGCCTCCGCCTGGAGGACCGCTGCTTGCACCCTCTCCAGGGACGGCCCAAGGGGCTGGAACCAGGCCTTATCGCTCCTTCGGGCCCAGGCCGAAATGCACGGACCGCTCCGAGCGCTGGGCTCCCGCGGTCTCTCGAGTGCGGTGTGGCGCCGCTCGCTCTCCATCGCAGAATTCTTTGAGGATGTGCTGCACGGCGGCCCGACTGGGATCGCCCGCGCAGCCTGGCATCGAGCGGAGGCTACCGCGCGACACGAAATAGTCGACGCCGCCGCCGCCGCCAGACGGCCGAGGCCCCAGCGAGCCATCTCTTTGAGTCTCCATGCGTCCCTGTACCCTGACTCTTTTCCCTCTCTTCTCGCCCGTCGTATCTCCTCGTGGTTCCCCCTTGCTCCTCCTCTTCCCATTGCCGACCTCACCAGCCGCTGGGAGGCGCTCCGACGAGTCCTCGCTCGGAGTCCCCCGGCCTGGGCATGGGCCCACATTAAAACACTGGCGGGGGCGTGGACCACGGCTGCCCGCATCCCGTGTGAGCCACCCCGCCAATGCCTCCTCGGCTGTCCTGATGCTTCCGATGACTTCGCCCACTACATCTCTTGCCCCCGCCTCCTTCACCTCCTTGCTCTTCCCCGTGGCTTCCTTCCCTCCTGTCCCCTCACTCGCCTCGGGCTCGGGCCCTCGCCCGATGCTGAAGTCGAATACCCGCGCGCACGCTGCCACCGCGTGGTCGTCCTCAGCTTCCATATCTACCATAGGCTGAAGGCTGACCTGGCCTCCCACCCAAGGAGGTCGGCGACGCCATCCTACCATTACGAAATACGAGCTGCCGCTCTCGCCGCAATGCGTCGATAGAGCTTGCAGCAGTAGCTGAGTCACCATCACTCAAGCTACGTGCGCTCCTCATCCTCCTCCTCCTCCTCCTGCTCCTCCCTCTGCTCCTGCTCCTCCTCCCTTCGCTCATCCTCCTCCTTCTCCTCCTCCTCCTCCTCCTCTGTCTCCTCCTCCTCCCTCCTCCTATTCCTCCTATTCCTCCTCCTCCTCCTCCTCATTCTCCTATTCCTCCTCATCCTCTTCCTCCTCCTCCACCTCCTGCTCCTCCTCCTCCCACTTCTCCAGTCTCGCCCGCGAGGCTGGCCGGAGGCAGCGCATGGAGGGACGCGTCGCCCGGCTGCGGATCGGAGAGCTGAGGACTGCCGCTGCCCGCGTTCTCCCTCAGAGGGGTCTGCGTTGCACCGTGCCGCGTGTGTTGGCGTCTCCCGAGGCGCCGTGGGCCCTCGACTCGGGAGTGGTGCAGCCAATCGGAGCAACGAAACAAAAGAGCTGCATCTTAGCTGCCTTGAAACGCCCGTTTTGATACGCAACACGCACCGTGCTCAAAACGTCCGTGTCGATACGTTGCGTGTTGGCTCAACGTATTGACTCACGCTTTGGCGAACGCATCGCCTCAGACCTGCGTTTTCAGTCTACGTGTGTAGCTCCGTATCAATACGCTACGTGTTGCGTGCTGCGTATCGGGGCAGCTAAGAGCTGCATATACATTAAACTTTTGGCGCTCCGGGCGGATTTCTTGGATCCGCGCCTGCGCCCGCCCCGGCGGCGCCTCCAGCGCCGCCGCTGGCGCGCTCCGCGCGCCAGGGAGGGAGGCTCCGCGCGCGCCAGGGAGGGGGGCCCAGCGCAGAGCCGAGGAATCCGCGCGGAACGCCAAAAGTTTGTGCTTGTGACGGTTTCTTCTTCGAGCCAGAGGCGCCGAAATAAGGAACAGTTTGGGCACGAAACGGGGCTCGAGGTTCTTGGGGCCACGCTGTGGTTGCTCCTCCTTCGGCCCTCCTCGTGCACGCTCTGACACCTCCGGGGCACAGGAAAGGGGCTGCTTCGTCCTTTCTCTGCCGTTCCTCATTTCAGCGGCCCGACTGCACGGTGCATATGTAGTGTTTTCGGCACTAGGGGCCGAACAGTGAGGCACCGTACCGCGCTGGAGCAGGGCACGCAGGGAGTCCAAGCATGGCACGGTGAAGGGGGCGCCAGTCCCGTAAAGGAGTAGCGGCAGGAGTGGCGGTGACAGGTGGAGGCGGGGAGGAGGAGGACCGACGTGGGTCGGAGGGTGCCCCATATCTCGAGCCCTCCCCTAGGGGGGGGGGGCCGTCAGGGTCACATGCTGTCTGCGATCTGTTCAGCATCGCTGGAGGTCTATTGGGTGCAGTCAACCCGCATACTAAGGAGGCGCAGCCTTCCCAAGGGTACCCTGGCATCCTTGCCCCCATCGGCCCATCCTTGGCCACTTTCGCTGGCCAACCTCGTTCGAAAAACGTTCACATGGGCCCCCAAGGCCCTTGCATCCTTACCGCGCATCCCTATTATACGGGCTGACTGTAGCATGCAGCCGCTTCCAGCCGACCAGCCTCCTGCGTGCTCGCCTCTCACGTGGCGGCACGCACGAAGGGGGTGGCGCGAGGGGGTGGGCCCCCCCTTAGGGGCGCGGGGGCTTCTAAGAAGGCAGCGGCATTCTAACAAAAATGCAGAACCTAATTGCCATACCAACATGCGACTAATACTGACAGATATTCGAATCATTCTGATGCGGATCATATGAATAATAATGATACAAATCGCAATCATAAGAGAAGTATCCATACCACTCGTAGTAGTAGTAGTAGTAGTAGTAGTAGTAGTAGTAGTAGTAGTAGTAGTAGTAGTAGTAGTAGTAGTAGTAGTAGTAGTAGTAGTAGTAGTAGTAGTAGTAGTAGTAGTAGTAGTAGTAGTAGTAGTAGTAGTAGTTAGTAGTAGTAGTAGTAGTAGTAGTAGTAGTAGTAGTAGTAGTAGTAGTAGTAGTAGTAGTAGTAGTAGTAGTAGTAGTAGTAGTAGTAGTAGTAGTTGTAGTAGTAGTAGTAGTAGTAGTAGTAGTAGTGGTAGCGTAGTCGTAGTCGTAGTCGTAGTCGTAGTCGTAGCCGTAGTCGTAGTAGTAGTAGTAGT